AGGAGAGGAAGTGGTGCAAAAAATGCATCTGCTTTCGTCAAGTCTCCAACTTCTACACTGCTTCATACCATAAGTGAATCAGAGAAGGCATCATATGTTGAACATATAAATAACTATCTTGCAGAAGACAAATTCTTAAAGAAGTACCTTCCCTTAGATCCTTCAACAAATGATCTATTTGAGATTGCCAAGGATGGAGTTCTTATCTGGTGATTATCTGTTGTTGCTAGGAGTACGGTACTCGCATGTTTGGTGGAGAGGATTGGATAGTACTGGACGCTATTGAGGAAGAAGAAGTTAGGATCTTATTTCTTACATTGTTGAGTCCTATCCAATACTGTGTACCAAACATGCATTATATTTGTTGAACCTTGCTTTGTATATTTAATATAAAATAGGATTCTTTAATTCAGTAAGCTTATTAATGTTGCCGTACCGGGAACAATTGATGAAAGAGCTATCAACACAAAGAGGGAGCTCAATCCATGGGAGAGGAATGAGAATCATACATTATGCCTGAACTCTGCCAAGGCAATTGGGTGTACTGTTGTCAATATAGGGACACAAGACTTTATTGAAGGAAGGGTGCGTGCCTGCTTTCATAAGAAACTGCTAGATTATGGTTGATTCTCGCTTTTTGTTTGGTTTTCTGGTTGATTTTTGAGTGAACTCATTTACTTAAGATTTAGTCCAACAGAAAGTAGCTTTGCTTTTACTTCGATCATTTCTATCTCATAGCTACGTTCCTTTCCCGTGGCATTTCAATTATCATTTTTTTTCCATATTTTAAATTCAACCTGAGAATTTTTGGTTGCACACAGTAGTCATGTGCATTTTTTTCTATTGTAAATAGGTTTTAAATGTACTATTATTTGATCATCTCTGGGTAATTGACTCTAGAAATTGTCAGCAGCCAGTTCTGTCAGCTTTGATTCAATCCAATGTAATCACTTCGACATTATAAGTAGCTTTTGCTCCTAATTTTCAGCTCATTCCTATTCATGTTTTTACTTTTGTCACCAGCACTGAATAAGGACTGCATTTTTTCTCTTTCTATTGGGTAATGCTTGTGTAGCTTAGTAAACTCATTTTATATCATCATCCATAGTTGTGCTTTACTTGGTCATGTTACTTCTATTTCTCTGTAATCTGAGAACATTCCTTTTTTTGTTTTATTTCCAGAGACATCTTGTTCTCGGATTGATATCTCAAATTATTAAGGTGAGGATATGTAAATATATTTAATGAAACTATTAGCCATTATCAAAAGTCCAAGGTGTCCAATAATAGGCAGTTATGTCTCGCAACTAATCAACCTAAAATGCCATTGGCAAAATTCTTTCACTGTATGCCACTGATCTAGTACTTTATCCTATGTGATGTTTCAGATACAACTGTTGGCTGACCTGAACTTAAAGAAAACGCCGCAGTTGGTGGAGCTGGTTGACGACAGTAAGGTAATTTCCAAGTGATTTCCTATTTTATCAAATGCACTTAATACTTTTTCAGTCTCCCAACTGTTAAATTTTGTCACTTCGTACTTGGAATATCAGGACGTGGAGGAGCTCATGAGCCTAGCACCAGAGAAGATCTTACTTAGGTGGATGAACTTTCAGTTGAAAAAGGCAGGATACACGAAAACAGTCTCAAACTTCTCGTCAGATGTAAAGGTAATTTCAAATGAATTGATACACAAAACCTCTGAGCATCTTGGTCCTTCGTACAATCAAACTTTTCTTAGTTTTTTTTTTTGGAAAAAAAAAAAGCCAGAACCCCTAAGTTCAATTAGTTCTTCAGAATTTACACTGAAGTGTTTGTCCTTTTAGTGTTAATTTTTTCTTGGCTGGAATCAAATTTAGTTTTACATCGCAAACCTTAAAAAATAAGCAGAAATGCTAACAAAAAAGCATTGGTGGAAATCCACATAAAAAGGTAGGAAGTTAACCAATTGATTACTGAGAATTTCTTGTATCCTTATTCTGAACCTTAGTGTTTTTCCTTTTCCATTTTCTCTCAATGGTGATTACGTTAAAATTTGAATGAAAATCTATATATGCAGGATGCAGAGGCTTATGCTCATCTCTTGAATGTTCTAGCGCCAGAACATAGTAATCCATCCACACTGAAAGTAAAAGATCCTTTAGAAAAAGCAAAGTTAGTTCTCGAGCATGCTGATAGGATGGGTTGCAAGAGATACCTAACAACAAAAGATATTGTAGAAGGCTCTCCAAATCTTAATCTTGCGTTTGTGGCACATATCTTCCAGCACAGGTGAGAAAAAATTTACTTTCAGAAGCATTTGGTGATATTACATTATCCTTAAATTCCATATTCTAATTAAACTATCAATGATAATAGTGATAATCCAGTCTCTAACAAAATAAGTTGAAATGGAAAAACAATAAGCATTCGAGCTTTACTTTATAAACACGACTTTAAGTTCACACAGTAAAATTGTTGTATACATCTGAGCTAAGTTGATTTGATGCTTAAAGAAGTACTACTGGAATGCAATGTCATCTTATGACAAGCTCTTTGCAATTGGCATATTCTATATTTTGCATTTGCCTATGTAAAAATATTGATATTTCATTATGT